AAATGTCTTGGACACATGAACGAGTGTTAATTTTAATCGAACAATACGAAAAACATCCATGTCTGTACAATGTGAAGTCGAAAGACTACAAAAACCGACATGCTAGACATGCTGCGTTATTGGATGTGTTGAACGCATTAAAGGAACTAAAAAAGGACAACACAATAGCAGACATAAAAAGTGGAACGGTATAAGAACAAATGTTATGTCGGAGTACAAAAAGGTGCCATCGTCGATGAAAAGTGGCTCTGTAGAAGAAGATGTAAGGAATATTAATAATGTCGGTTTACGTTTAAATTAAAATGTGTTAACATTGTAGGTATACAGTGTGTAAAGCGATGGGGTATACAAGAGGGAATTTTTTTTTAAATATTGATTTATGAAAAAAATTTATTCTTTATGATATGTTTTGCTTGCTTTGAAAGTACCAATAACGTTTCGATAATCTAAAATTTATTTATAGAAATCTGGAAAAATAATAAAATTGATTTTTTTTATTGAAAGTTTTTCTACATTATAATTAAGCGAGTATTGCTATCAAACCACAAACAATCGAAACGTTATTGGTACTTTCAAAGCAAGCAAAAAATATTATGAAGAATAAATTTTTTTCATAAATCAATATTTAAAAAATATTCCCTCTTGTATACCCCATCGCTTTACACACTGTATAAACCCATATTATGGTATTTTAAAAATATGCAGTTTATATTAAAGAATGGCCATGAACCAAGATCTTCCATCGACAGTATGGATGGGACAGAATTTACTGATCACTATGAGGAAACAGAATCACAAGAGGTAAATATACCTATGTCTTATGTATTAATCTCATGAACGATTATCGAGTACTCGTGTGAGTGACCAGACTGCACCTGTATCACAAATAAGTGTTAAAAAAATTATTTTATAAATATATTATTTATTTACAGACTGAGACGTTTTTTGTACAAGAAACGTCAGATGGTTCCGTTTTAGTGGATGACACCGGGAATGAAATTTATGTAGACGTTCAGTCTCCATCTACTAGAGTAGCAGCGCAAGCAGAGCAGAGGGCACATTTTTAGCTAAACCTGGCAAAAAAGAAAACGAATTGCTGTAGACACTGAAGAGCAGGAGAGCAGATTGTTAAAATCTGCAAGCACTGCAGTAGAAAATATTGCCAAATATCTGATCAGCCAATAAATAATAAAGAAAATCGCAGAGGCGAGTGCGCTATATTTGGAGAATTCGTAGGCAAAAAACCTAACCCCATAGGTCCGGGAAGTTAGCACCGTCACTGGAAGCACTAACGACCGGACTGGTGTCGATCGTGCATCAGCGCGCAAAGCCATTTCCAAAATATAGGCACCTTCTCATGCAATAAAAATTATTAGAATATTTTTTTTCGGTTTTAGGTCGATTTATGCATAACTTCGTATTTAAGATTTAACATTAGGACATTTAATATTTTAGGCAACTTTTGAAAAAACTTATTCTATTCCATATTAAATTGCATATAGCAATAAATGCGGAGTAAGTGTGGTATTCTTCCTTGCAACAAGTATGTCTTTGCAAGTCATCATACCGTTCCCACACTGCATCTATTCTTCTACAGAAACAAACATAATGACCCTATGTTGCATGTTGTCGGATCGTTTGAGGCAATGAATGCCACAACAGATCGTAATATCAATCTTTTCCTAAATCCGGTAATGGCGAATGGTATATCATCTAGCACAGTGTTTCCACATTCGTTTGCGTCAATAAATACAAATTTAGATACGGATAAGGTATGTGTAATCATTCCATGGCAAATGCATTTACTGCACTTCAAGTATCCATTGTCAATGGCCTTTTCAAGATTTTTGAAATTTGTATCCAGTACATCTATATTTATAGGTAAGAATGGTATATTTTTAGTTGCCACATTTCCACAATTTTCGCACAATTCTACATCGACTGCGCTAGAACAATCTTTTAAGAAATATTCGACAACGTACGAAACATTGCACTGACTATCTATTTTTTCAGTGTTGTCTACCAATATACTTTTGTTAAATATTGAATCCATCGCATTTACCAGCAACTCTGCGCGTGCCTTATTAACAATACGTGTATTTCCATACACTAAATAAAAGATGACAATCAGATCATTTTCCAAGCTAAGTGGCTCCAAAAATGTTTTAACTTCTTTGCTGTCACAAACAGCTGCAGCGACCCCTGACAAACACTATCGATTGGGCAAGTATTGTTCAAAATGATTTTCTTTTTTTTAACAGTTTGTGTTGTGCTCAAGGTACCATTTTTTAACAGAAAAATTTTGTTTTTTCGCAGGTCCATGGTATACAAAATCTCCGGGTATGGCGCTCCATAAATTCGGGGTTATTCTGGAGGCGCTTGAAAACTTTGCAATATTGAAATCATTTTCAATTTGACAATTCAACTCATGTCTAAAAAATCTCATAAGCCGCAGTGGAATTGTCACTTTGACAGCGGCAAAAGTTACCTGCAACTTTTCCAGCGACAAATGCACTAGTGGTTTTTTCACTTATTCATTTTCGAACCAATAATCGCATTATCCTTACCCATATGACTAGTTTGACGTCTGTCAATAATTGATTAGTTTGGTGAATTTCTTGTTCGTTAAATTGTCCTGCCGAATTACACTCGAGGTTTGTATTTAAACCGAGTAAATTTGGGTTGTTGCAATTCAAATCTGTTTCCTTTTAGCAATTGAACTCGAAAAACTGTCAACCTAAAAATGCTCCACCTGCGGTGTCGCATTTTTATTAGTTGACAGTTTTTCTCGTCTAATTGCTAGGCAACAGATTTTCATTACCTAAACAACCCAAATTTACTCGGTAAAATACAAACCTCTTGTGCAATTATAAGTGATAATTGAACACATTTCAATATTGAAACGTTTTGCTATTCAGGGCGATCCCTTGTAAACGTGGTTTTCAAGAACCTTGAAAGTTTGTATATTGAAAACTAGTAGCATAAAGTTGGCGTTTTTTGGTATTAGTCTTACAAAAAAAGTGGAGCAAAATTGGATCAGCTCTTAAATTTTGTGGTAAAAATCATTTATTTAACACTTCTAACCTACGACCGTGAAGGTGTGAAAGTATTTGCAGCCTTTTCGGTTGTATTATTATTTCATAATTGTTTTATATTCGTTTAGTATTGTCTAGCTATTTCATTAAAGATAGCATTTGTATACAGGGTGTTTACGGTCTTCTATTTATCCTTTTAAGGGGGGTAGTACAGCTCAAAAGGAGTCGAAAAAACCCAAAACACCTTAGTAAAAGTTTTTTAATAAGCGAGATAATAAATGTTTTATTTTTTATTATTAAACGATTAAACTGTGTGCACATCTAGCAATCTGCTACTTATTTAGCATTCTCTATTCTTCATTCTTCAATTATTTTTTAGTAGGTATCTTTACAAAAGTTGTTCGAAGTTATCACCTTCTTGTTGTATGCAAAGTCTGGCTCGGCGTACCCAGGACCCCACACACTCTGCAAGGCCCAAACCTTGTTGACGAATTTCCGCCGCTGCTGCTTGCACCCGGTTGCGGAGATCCTCGAGGTTGTTGTATACCATGGCCTTCATAAGACCCCACAAATAAAAGTCCAATGGTGTTAGGTCCGGTGATCGTGGTGGCCAAGGGACAGGACCACCTCGACCTATCACTATGTTGTTTAAATGTTGACGAACTAAATGACTGAAATGTGCTGGGGCACCGTCGTGCAGAAACCACATGTTGCGACGGACATTTAAGGGAACATCTTCTAAAAGTTCAGGCAAATTGTTTTCCAAAAAATGTAAATAAGCAATTCCAGTTAATCGATCTGGCAATACAAATGGGCCAATAAGTTGCCCGTTTACTAATCCGGCCCATACGTTCAAAGAAAATCTCTGCTGGAAATGACCACGACGAACCGCATGCGGATTTTCAACATTCCAAAGGTGATTATTGTGAAAGTTGTTTATGTCGTCACGTGTAAACGTTGCCTCGTCAGTCGCCAACACATTTGAGACAAAACTGGGAATTTCATGATGTTGTCGCAAAAACCATCTGCAGAAATCTACGCGCAGAGGACGATCCTGCAGTTGCAAAGCTTGTACCCGTTACACATGGAATGGGTACAGTTGATTCTCGCGTAAAATTCGCCAAACGACACGATTTGAAACGCCAACTTGACGAGCAATTCGCCGCGTGCTGGTTGAAGGGTTTTCATCAGTCAGATTCAAAACGTGTTCCTCGGCATCTAAAATTCGTCGGTTCCGACCAGGTCCCCCATCACGCCCTTGACGAGTTTGTAAATTACCAGTTTCCCGAGCACGTATGATTAGATTGCTGAATTTTTGAGGGCTGGGTCTTGGTCTACCTGGAAATCGTTCAGCATAAAGCCGACTTGCAGCAGCCGTGTTACGATGCACTTCCCCATAAATCAGCATCATGTCAACTGTAACGGTTTCACTTAATTTTATGTAAAATTTAAATATTTTTGCCGCTTTAATTCAAATTTATTACCAAAAGGATAAACAAAGTCAAGGTAGCAGTCATCTCTGATAGCAAAAGGTGACCAGCCATTTGCCATTAGATTTTTGAATGGTCAAGTTATTCAGCTGAATGCATCTTAAGATTGTTAATTAAATAATTCTAAAGAAGAGCAAAATAATAAAGTTAATTAAACAATTTGTAATAATACGTGAGTATTTTCTTTCTGTAATGACGTATTCATATTTAATTATAATTTTCAGATCTATATGATAGGCGCCTCATGGCTACCCTAAATTAATTATTTAATCTTATTCTATATATTTGGAACCCAGTTCATCCTGGTAATGCATTAAATTAATCTGTAGCTGCTTGGAGCTAATTTTTAATGTTTCAGGGTTCTTTTAAGTAATTATATAATTTCTATCGAAATATTAGAGTTGCCCTAGAATTGGCACTCGTAAGCAAATCAACATCTAACGTAGCAGTCAAAATAAATCTATCCTATTCCAACTCGTCAACTCCAGCAGCTCCAGTCGTCAAGGTCTTCAACCGTCTTCCGAAGTAAACCGTCTAGAAAAAGGTCAGACTGTATCGTACACTTACAATCATATACAAACATAACACCATAAAATTGTACTTACCAATAAGGTATCCGAATTCTGTAAGAGATCTCCGCGACAGGTCACACCTCCATCTCACACGATCAGTCGGACAACTAAAATCAAATATTGAGATATTAACATTTGATAATTTTGAATAAAATTAAACTTACCCTCACGTTGTTCATAATTTAATGGTCAAATTACCAGAACGGGCTAGTTAACGTCACGACCCTGAGAGTACCTTCCGCGCATAGCCCTGGCGCCCTTATATCATTCATGCTCTACCATCAGCCGAGCGCAACAGAGTATCGGTTCAAATGTATCCGCCATTACATTAAGACAACAAAACCGTTTTCACTTACCCGGTAGCACATTTGACGTCCAAAGTGGGGCACGATTCTATGTTAATTTTATAAAGCTACACTGAATATTATTTTGCTATTCTATTTTGTAGAAATTTATATTTGAAATATTGAATTCTTGTTACTCTTGTACTTTTGTTTGTTTACTGCAAATTTTGAGGTTATGTATATTTATGTTTTGTGTTCACTTTAAACTGAAGTTAGGTGTTAAGTGATATTAGAATATCGATGGACCATCGCGATTTTCACTTTTCAGAGAATAGGTTAATAATTGTTATCAACTTATACCTCTCAAACAAACTTAAAAACAATTGGACAATGCTGATTAAGTAGTAGATTGCTAGATGTGCACACAGTTTAATCGTTTAATAATAAAAAATAAAACATTTATTATCTCGCTTATTAAAAAACTTTTACTAAGGTGTTTTGGGTTTTTTCGACTCCTTTTGAGCTGTACTCCCCCCCCCCCCCTTAAAAGGATAAATAGAAGACCGTAAACACCCTGTATAATTACTAGCTGACCCGACGGACGTTGTCCTCTTTCCTAGCAATGCATACCTAATCAATTTGAACTGGAATAAATAATAACAAAAAATTATTTCAAGAAATTCGCTGTGCCTAGCGCAGGTACCACTCGCCCCACCCGCGCATGCGCGATTCTGCCCTTTTATGTCTAAGAATATGTGTACCAAATTTGGTTCCAATCGGTTCAACCGTTTAGCTGGAAAAGAGATTTTGACACACTTGTCCCAAAATGTCCCCATCTCTCCCCAAAATAATAAAAAATAAACGCACTCACTTCTACGTTGCTTTTGCCCATTCAGAGCTAGCAACGTACCTTTTTTTTACTGCGCCAAATGCCGTAATTTGAAAGCAATTGTTGTATTTCTGGATTAAAGAGGACATTTCTGCGGACTGCGTTGTTCATATCGATTCCGTTAACTTGGTTTCACGCTTCGCTTTGCTCGTCAGTTTGAGTTACTCGTATATACCGGTTGGTGCACGGTAAGTAGGAACATAGGGATTTAACATGGGGAATTAGTTTTATGCAATATCCTGCCCTCCTATACATTTTACAGACAAAATTCATAAAACAACAAAAGTCATGGCTATTGCTACTAATAACAGAAATGTTGAAATTTATTTTTAAATTTGCGGGTATACCAAAAGCTTAATAAAACATGTAAAAACAGTTTTGTATGCACCTTTTAATTCTGAACAACTTTAAACTCTACAGTTTTTTTCTGTAAAATGTACAGGAGGGTAGGACATTGCATAAAACTAATTTCCCATGTTAAATCCCTATTCCTACTTACAGTGCACCACCCGGTATGTTTGACTTGTAGGATTACGAATTCTGCGACCTAAGTTGGTACCATGTTAGTACGTCTAATTAGTAGCATCTTGGAAAAACTAAAATTCAACTGAAAATAGAAATTAACTCCCTAGTGTTTCTGTATAACTATGTATACCACGTGTTTAATCTATCAACACTTACCAAAAATGGATATTAGGTATATCAAACTTTTAATATAAAAGGCGTGATTGCGGTGAATTAACATCGACATTTCTCAAAAAACTCACTGAAATCTGGATAAACTTTCCGATCGAATTGACAGCACACAAATTAATTTTTTGACGGATATATGCCGATCGATGTAGCTGTTAAAACAATTGCTGCCGCACCGTCAAACGCGCGATGTTTAAATAGTCGGTAAATTTTCTCCAATTTTCTTAGTTTTTCTTGCCGTAAGAACCTTCTACACAGTATTAGAAAACTTTTAAAAAGAAAGATTAATGAAATCGGTAAAGTCGTTCTAAAGTTATTGCGTGACCAGAAAAAACAGGGGTCCATTTTTATATACAGGGTGACAATTTGAAAACTTACCACCCCCCATATCTTAGTAAATAAACGAGATATTTAAAAAAATCAAAATCCGTTTCGGTAATTCGGAGGGGGAATCACAATGACATAGTTGGCGACGCACCCCCTCCAACCCCCTGCGCCCCAGCCACCCCAACTTTTAAATCTTAAATAGTGACCCCCCATGTGTGATACGTCGTTGGAAAGCTCTGAAAAAATGCTTTCCAACCATATCAAATAGCATTACATTTAGGTTAGTAATTATCGTGCAAATCAAAAAATAAACTAATATGATACATTTGAAATCTGTCGTATTTAAAACGCAACCGGCGAACATTAGACGAACTAAGACAGAGAATAATTCAAGAATGTCGAAATATTGCAAAACCAACATTTGAAAAGGTTCGACAAGAGTTTTAGAATAGATTATAACTGGCGATCAAAAATGAGTTGCTGTCGAGTCGGCTTTGGAAGTTCAAGTTAAATACGATTTTCCATGTTTATTTTTTGATTTGCACGATAATTACTAACCTAAATGTAATGCTATTTGGTATGGTTGGAAAGCATTTTTTCAGAGCTTTCCAACGACGTATCACACATGGGGGGTCACTATTTAAGATTTAAAAGTTGGGGTGGCTAGGGCGCAGGGGGTGTGAGGGGGTGCGTCGCCAACTATGTCATTGTGATTCCCCCTCCGAATTACCGAAACGAATTTTGATTTTTTTAAATATCTCGTTTATTTACTAAGATATGGGGGGTGGTAAGTTTTCAAATTGTCACCCTGTATAGAGATTGATTAGGTAATCATTATTCTTATTTTAGAGGTTGATCACTTTATATAAGGTAAGCACGTATAAAACCATAACACTTAAAATAAGTCATTTTCTCGTAGCAGCACTAATAGTAATGTCTGGTGCAAAGAAAAAACCACGCACTAGCAAAAATCAGTTTGCATGCTACGTGAACGCCCTGGAGGAGAATGTGGTGTTACGAACTGGTAAACTTACACCGTCCATGACCCCAAAGGATGTTGAAGTGTTGTGGCAGAAAGTGGCGGACAAATTAAATGCTTGCGGTGATGGTCCTACTCGTGAAGTGGAGGGTTGGAAAAAGGTAGTACATTTATGATTAGCAATAACTGAAAATGCGTAACACGAAATTTTGTCCTATATATAGGTATTCACAGAATGGAAAAGCCAGGTGCGAAAGAAAGCCAGAGAAGGTAAACCAGTAAATGATTTAGAAAATCGTTTATTAGAAGCTACCGGTAAAGTTGCTGTTGCTGGAATGGTAACTGTAGCAGAACTAGGGAGCAATGAAGTTCAGAATGTCATCGATGAACTCCCAAATGTCATTGTAGATATGACTACGTTAGTTATTTTACTTTTTATCGAAATTTTTCAAGCCATATTTTGCAGAGTGATCTTGTAAATGTTGGACATGAAGTAGCATGTACTCCACCCGACGAATTGCAAACAAGGGATGAACCTATTTCTGCATCAACTTCAACTCGTAAGGAAGTAGAAGAGCAAAAAATGAGTAGGTCATTGAGCTTAAACTTGTATCTCTAAAAAATGAAAGTGAATTTACCCTTAAAAAGATGTGCATTTGCCCCTAAGGTAAAGGTACTTCTTCCAATAAGCAGTAGTTTTACTACATTAAGTTGATGTTACCATAAATATCATAATATATTCCCAATCTCACGCGTTTTTGTAACTACAAGCCAGACATTGTCCTATTATCTTATGGTAAATTTTTTTCCACAAGATATTTTCACCTTCGAGATACGAAAACACCTTTTTTATAGTATTTCATCATCACATAATCTTACTTTTATAAATTCATTTACCCACTTAAAATGCAAATTCTGTTGTTGGATTTTTGAATCTGAGCCTATAAATTTACTCTTATAAGGGTTAATATTACTTATAAATTATTTTACGCCGGTAGACTTTACATTGAAGAATCAATTCAATATATCGTCGGTGATATGACAATACCTCTTATCTCGAAATTCTGAAATTTTACAGGGTGAACAAAAAACCTTTTTGTAGGAGAAATGTGTAATATTAATGTTGTAGTTATGATCTGGTAACTTCAATAAGGCAAAATACATTATTAAAATTCGTTTAGATCAAATTAGTCATATTAATAATTAAATCAGTACGCATAGGAGATATTGCGCTCAAATATTTGGTAGATAGGTGATATTGCTTTCTAATATTAATTGTAGTCGGAAGATATTGCTTTCAGATATTTGCTAGGTAGTAGGAATTTCAATCATAATACTTTTAAACAATGATGTATTTAGTGCAAAATGAAGACATTTTCCTAAAAGAATTAATATTATTAATTTTCATTGTAAGGTACAGTATCATAGTAAGCACGGCAGTCCTTGGGAATCACGCCTTTGAGTTCTTGTAAATGGCACCATTTTTTTTTCGTGATCTTGAGAGGTTCTTCATGTAACTTAGGGTAAGTAGTAATTGGTGGTATAACTCTAGCTCGAACTGGAAGCTCAAGCCATTCTTCAGTAATGTCAGTTTTTACCTTTAATTCTCCACTGGGGAGGTATCTTATTGCCTTTATGTCGGTTACAGTTGGGTCATCTGTTTTCTTGCCAGGTCTAATGGACATAGCGATGATGTTCAATTTTGGAAAAATCAAAGAAGAAATCGTATTCTAATTTGATGGTTTCGTAGGGTTCGGGTTTTTGTCGTGCTTCTTCTGTTGCTCGCAAGTAATCACTAGGTAAGTGAATTTTTCTATTTTTTAATTTTCTTTCGATACAGCTATGTACCGAGTCTACCTCCATTTGAGTATGACCGCGTTCCAAATACTTCTGAATTATTGTAATTCCATGAAGCATTGAAAAATTAAGAAGTGCGTTTGCCATTACTGCATTACGGTTCTGAAAGGTGCAGCCGTCGCTATAAATTACGACTGGAAGATGTCTGGGCAGACAATGTCTTGAAAGGTAGTCAATCAAGCAGTTTACAAACGTAGAAGCGCATAAGTCCGAGTCTATTTCCGTAAACCAATAGCACGTTGTATGGCGAGTTGTAATGTTATACACCGTGAAATTATGGCAGCACAGTTTAGTTTTAAAGTAAATGGCAGTTGCATTTAAATATGGTGCCACTTTAACGGCTTGAAGATCCATAGTCAATAGGATAATTTCATCTCTTTTTGCTCTTTCAATATCATCTGCTTTAGCTGACCTCATTTTCTCTTTATTTTCAATGTGCTTCTTCCATTTCTCTTCTTCAACATTTCCATGCTCGTGTTGGATGCACAAATCACGTTGATCTTTTTTTGGTGACCAAGTGGCACCTGA